CCTGCAACATTAAGCCAACTACTTCTTCTAAGGAAGGCCTTAACAAGGATTAAAAGTCACATGGTCTAATCATAAGGTTGTCTTACTCAATGTTACTGCTCCTGCTATGAAAATCTTTAAAGTTAAATTGCGTAAAGTCAGCTGATTCTCCCTCGAGAATGTTGAAGCATGATTTAATGGACATGCTTGCAATGTTAAAATGATTCCAAAGGGTAGATAGAAACTTTTCCTTTGGACGGAGTGACCAGAAGAAGGGCATAACCTTAACTGTTGTTGGATCTCCCTCCCTAACAGTGTTGTAGATGTGCCGACATCAAAATGGACTACAGTGGTTCAAGAAGGCAATCTCTACCACATTTCTAAAGATACAAATGCTGACCTAGCCAGCATTTGCCATATTCTAATAATAACTAAATATATTGTATAAATCACTGTCTTAAAGGATTGAATGTTGCTATGGGATTGACTTGAGAGGCTGATACTTCATGATACTATGCTCATAGGAGCCCAGGTGTATTTAAACAGCTTCAGTGACCTTACATGGTGAAAATGTCATGTACATTGATTGCTTGAAGAGTAGGGAAGATGCTAATCATGGCAGGTGGACAATACCTCCTTGAAAGGCCACAGGTAGAAAGGCCATTCGCAGGAATATACAATATCTCTCCCAGTCTTATTCAAGGCCAGCGACATGTTCTTGTAACCTGTAAAGTCAGACAAATCATCGGGTTAATTTTTTCAATTACAATATAGCTGAACTTCTATATTAAATCCATTTATGCAGCCAATATCTCCAAACCACTGACAGAGTTCCAGAAAAAACCTCAATGACAGAGCAACTAAAGAATTCCAATGATTTACAAGCTGACTGAAGAAATTTCTCTTCAGCTCTGTCTGAAATGACTGACGAGTCCTGACACTACTAACCCAGATTCCAGACTCTCCAGCCAGGGAAAACATCATCTCAGACTTTACTCTTCCAAGTCTCTTCAGAATTTTTTGATATTTCTTCTTCTAAACTGCCTTGAATATCAGTCCAGCTTACTCAGCAAAACAACAACCTCCTCATCTGGGATCAATCTGGTGAAATTCTGCTAAATGTTTCCAATGCAAGTCTATCCCTTAATGATGGAGACCAAAGTTGCACATGGTATCCAGGTGTGATCGCACCAAACCCCTGTATAATCGTGGCAAGACTTTATTCTTGTACTCCAATCCCGTCGAAATAAAGACTGACACCATTTACTTCTAACTGCTTCTTGCATCTACAGTGCAACTTGATGTAAAAGGACACCCAAATCTTTCACATTGTCAACATTTATTGGTCTTATTGGTTTTTATAAAATATTTTGCTTTATCATTGTTAGTTCAAAGCAGACAATGTCACACTTCCCCATTTTATGCACACTTTACCCAATCACTTAGCATGTCTGCATCTCTCTGCATCCTCCCCTGTTTAATTTTCCACAGTTTTGTACCAGAGCAAAACTAGAAAATACTACTTAGTCCATATGTAGATTGTAAATAGCTGAGGGCCAGACTGATTTTTATAATACATGCCTAATTACAGCACACCAGTGTATAGATGATCTGTTTATGGAAATAGTTTTCTGTTCATTAATCAATTCTTAACCTGTGCTGGTATATCACTGTTGATTCCACAAACTCTAATATTGTGGAACAAACCCCTGTGGTACCTAATCAAGTAAATTCTGAAACTCCAGACAAATCACATGCAATATCTCCCCCATAGTTCTCTGTTTTTGCTCCATTCTCTGTTGAATATTCATTCACAAAAAAAAAATGCCCCTTGCTTTCTCCATGCCCTATGCAGATAGGACTAGGTGAATCAGTAAGCATTCATTCAAAACCTCCAAGTTTTCAGACGCTTCTCGACCCAAAACGTCAACTTTCTTCCTCCTCTGATGCTGTCTAGCCTGCTGTGTTCCTCCAGCTCCACACTGTATTGTCTCTGACTTCAGCATCTGCAGTTCTTGCTATCTCAAGGTTTTCTATTTCTTTCTGCTTCATGTTTTCTCCCTTCCTCACCTGTAGGACTAAAAATGAACAGAAGGCATATTTGTGTAGTACCTTTCAGCACGGCAGATAGGAAGATCTGGCCTTTCAGCCCCTTAAATCTGCTCTACCATTTAATACAATCATTGCTGATTGAAGTCTTCCTTCAATGCCTTTTACCCACCCCCACCTTGTAACCCTTTAAGCCATTAGCAATTAAAAATCTATCAATCAATCTCTACTTTAAACATACTCAAAAGACATAGCTACCCCTCTGAGGTAGAGAGAGAATTTCAAAGATTCACCACCCTTGAGTGAAAATAAATTCTTTTCATCTTGGTCCTAAGTCGCATCCTTGTTATTTTTAAATTGTGACCCATGGTTTTAGACTTCCCAATCAGGGAAATCATCTTACTTGCATATGCCCTCTTAACCCTTTTAAGTATTTTGAATGTTTCAATGAGATAACCTCTCATTCTTTGAAACTCTAGAGAATACAGGTCCAGTTTACCCAAACTCTCTTCGTAGGACAGAAACTTGAAAGTAGTGATGAATGGCTAGTCAGCATGCTGGAAGAAATAACACCATGGGATTCCCCAGAAGTTGATCTTAACATTACCGCTCTTTTCTACATACATTATTTTGGCATAATTTCAAAGTTTGCAAATGGCATAAAGCTCAAAAGTAGTAAAAAGAGTTAGGAGAATGGGTGCAAACCTCAGGAGGAGACAGATGAAATGGACCAACACGTGGCAGATGAAATTAGAAGCAGAGAAATGTGTAGTGATATATTTTTAGGGAGGCAATGTAAACTAAACAATATTAAATAGGGTTAAGATGTAGATCAGGTATGATCCAAACGAATGGCGTAATTGTTTCAAGGAGGCTGAATGGTCTCTTCCTGTTACTGAAAGGAATATGGGGAGTAAAATAGCTTAGCAATGAGGTCTTTGGAAGATCTGTTCGAGGAGAGAGATTTCTATTTATTCAGAAGTTCAAAAGACAGAAGAGTTCTAAGGTTTAAATCAGGAGGTCCCAATACTTCAGTTAGGCTCTACATCAAATGTAATTGCACAATATTTGAGCTCCTGGTATTGTGGTAATGCATTAACATGGATTTAGGATTGGTTAACACAAAAAAGTTTTGGTCCCTGTATTTAAACAAGGGCACACTGGCAGAAGAAGGAAGGCTTAACCTGGTCCTGTAATGTTGAATAAAGACTTCACTGACGTCGCTCACCCTCAATCATGACGTCCAAATTGATGAAGTTGCAACCATCAAACTTCAGGAGGTCCACTCCCCAGTCAGCAAAGGTCTGAGCATCCAGTTCATAGTAGCCATAACTGCCTGGGTACCCTGCACAAGTGTTGGTCCCCACATCCTGATAGATGCCGAACTTCAGGCCTTTAGAATGGATCTGCACCAGGACGGGGCAGACAAAACAAATCAATGTGATGATCTACAGGCTTACATAAAGATGGTAGAGAATTACAGAGAATTTATACAGAGTCATTGAGTCATGCAGCATGGAAACAGTCAAACCAGTCCATGCCGAACATAATCCCAAACTAAACTAGTCCCTCCTGCCTGCTCCTGGCCCACATCCCTCCAAACCCTTCCTATTCATGTATCTAGCCAAATGTCTTTTAAATGATGTAATTGTACCCGCATCCACCACTTCTTCAGAAGTTCACGCCCCACGCGAACCACCCTCTGTGTAAAAAATTCACCTCTCGTGTCTTTTTAAATCTTTCTCCTCTCACCTTAAAAATGTGTCCCCATCCTAGGGAAAAGACAACTGCCATTAACTCTGTCTATACCCCTCATTATTTATAAACTTCTATCAGGTCGCTTCTCAACCTCCTACACTCCAGTGAAAAAAGTCCCAGCCTATCCAGCATTTCTTTACATTCCCTGCTTCTCTCTCTCACACAGACACACATGTGCAAAGGCCGTACTCACGTAGTCTGCGAGTTTCTTCATCCCGCTTGGAAACCGTTCGGGATTGGGCTGCAGGCGGTGGTTGGCATCCCGTGTGCTCGCGAGCCAACAGTCATCAACACAAACATAATTATAGCCAACATCCTTCCAGCCTTCTGCTGCCATGATGTCAGCCATCTGCATGTAGAGCTTCTCACTGCACAGAAAGAGAGGGGAACTGCGGTTTCTTCAAAGGCCCTAACAGATAGATTACCCCTACAAAGTGTGTGACATAGGCTTGGCTGAGACACCACTGAAACAATGAGGAATCGCCATTGCACCATAGGTTTCACCTTTGAGCTGGAATATGAAACATGGTACCTGTGTCCTCTCACATGGATGTGGGGTATTTTATGGTTCCGTTTGAAAAGAAGCGAAGTTTCTCCCCTATGTCCTAGCCTGTTCCAACCATCATCACAAACACAGATTATCTAGGCACTTGTTACATCAGATGAGTGGGTCAGAACTGCTGAGAAGGCAGCCTCACTTTCGAGGCCCCAAGAACATCTCCAACCTTCCCATGGTCTCCATGCTCCCTTTCCCCCCACTGCTGTTGCCATTTAGACCTCCAGTGGAGCAAATCTTTTGTTTCTTTTGGCCTTACCACCATCCGTATTTGCTTTCAAACATCACCTCTAATCATTCAATTGTTCCCTATGAGAGAGCATCCTACAGATTCTGACCATCCCTTCCTCTGTCATATTGGGTTCTGGGTGGTCAGGATAGAATAGGAGAGATGATAATACATTCCAATCCCAGTGGTGCCCAACGGCTATGGAAGGTTTGAGGCATACCGGTAAACACCACCTACTCCCTCCCCGAGGCTGAGTTTTGGAGCTGGTCTAATTATCTATGGTAGCGGATAGATCACTGGTGAGTCTTAACAAGAGGCATTCATCTTAGATAAGATGCGTGGCATGATATTAATAAGTGAAAAACTACATTGACTTGTAGCCACAATTACATCAGATAAGGAACCCAAGATAACAAATCTTTCTTGATCGAGAATGCGCAATTCCTCTCCCTCTGCCCCTTCACCCAAGACTGTGTGACATCAGATTGTTTGGAGTTAACAGAAAACATTATCCCTTTCAGAATCACTATTTAAGGCAACACCCATCCCACACATTTTTGCTGGCTGAGGGTGCAAAGAGGATTTAAAAAGAAACAAAAAAAAAAGACTTGCAATTACAAAGCGTCTTTTGCTAGTCCAGAGCATCTCAAGGTGCTGCACAGGAATTGGAGATACTGGACACTGTAAGTTAAATGATTTAAGTTGTTGAAATCATTGAAGCAGACACAGTGCTTCACACAAACTTCCCACTAACTTATTTCATCCTATCAGCATTACTTTGTATTCTTTTCCACTTCATACTTCATGGTACAGTTATAGTTCAAAAAAAAGAACAGCCACATGGCCTGTCCAGTTCATATTTGCTCACTGCAAGAACAGGCCCAGAAATCCCATTCTGAGTCATTTCCAGTGCCCCAAAGCTCTCTACAGCTGCTTCTTCAACTTCCTTTTGAAAGCCATGATTACATCCCTCTCCACTACACTCTCAGGCAGTGTATTCCAGATCCCAATCACCTACGTATTGAAGGTTTCTCATGTCCCTTGGTCTGTCTCTCTCCCTTTCAGAGCTGCTGTAGGTGAGCTCCCCCAGATTTGTCAGCTCCCTCTCTCTCTGACCTGCTCCAGCTGAGCTCCCCCAGATATCTCTCTCTCTCTCTCTATCCACTCCCCCATCTCTCTCTGACCTGCTCCAGGTGAACTCCCCCTGATGTGTCTCTGTCTCTGTCTCTCTCTCTCTCCTCGACTCTCCCTGACCTGCCACAGGTGAGCTCCCCTGGACCTGTCTCTCTCTCTCTCTCTCTCTGACCTGCCCCAGGTGAGCATTCCCAGATCTATCTGTCTCTCTCTCGCTCTGACCTGCCAAAGGTGAGGTCCCCCGGATCTGTCTCTCTCTCTCTCTCCCTGACCTGCCCCAGGTGAGCTCCACCAGATCTACCTCTGTCTCTGTCTCTATCTCACTCGCTCTCTCTCCCTGACTTGCCCAGGTGAGCTCCCCCCGATCTGTCTCTCCCTACCTGCCCCAGGTGAGCTCCCCCAGGACCTGTCTCTCCTTTTGTGTATCTGCCATTACCTGATACAGTTGTGTGGATCCTCCTGGCAGTCGACATTGCAGAGGAACCTCTCCCAGTGGAGCCAGCCCATGATGGGGCTGATGGCGAGGCCATTGTCAAGGCTGGAGGCGCCTGTGGCCAGGCTGAGCACGGCGATCAGCAGCGGGAGCAGGAGCACACTTAGCCGGGCCATCCTCCATCTCCCTCCCTCTGGGATTGAACACCCCGCCGTCTTCCGCATCGCTTACCGTGCAACCGAGCTTGACCATAGAGCACCAATCACAGCCCACCCCTACCACCGGCCAGCCAATCCGAGCACGCCCTGGGTGAAAGGTCCGCTAGCAGGTTCGGTTGCGTTTGTGTTTCCGTGACTTCCTTGAAGTGAGAAGAGTTGGGCACTCTCGAGAGAGAGAGAGAGAGGGGGACAATTCTCAGTGAGAGAGAAAGGGGCAATTCCTAGAGTGAGTGAATCCTAGACAGAGTGTGAGAGGGCATTTCCCAGAGAAAGGGTTAGAGGAATATTTCAGCACAGTCTGGAGGGATAGTCATTATCTTCAGGAGAGAGAGAATTGATACCTTCAGCCCCACGTTAACCTGTGTTGACTGTTACTTGTCTTCCAACACATGCCAACATGCCATTCAACGCCACCTTCTGAAGAAAATAGGGGATGGGTAATAAATGCCAGCTTTGCCAGGAGCTCCTGAGTGATCCAAGAGAATGAAAGTGTCTATCTTTATCTTGAGATAGCAAGAATTGCATATGCTGGAGTCAGAGATAACAAAGTGTGGAGCTAAGGGAACACAGCAGGCTAGGCAGCATTAGATGAATAGGACAGCTGACGTTTCCGCTCAGAACCCTTCTTCAGAAATGGAGAGGAAAGAGCTCAGAAATAAATAGACAGAGGAGGGGTGGGGCTGGGGAAGGTAGGTGGGATGGTGATAGGTGAGTGCAGGTAGTGAGTGGTGAGGATTAGTAAGTGAGGTGGGAGACAAGATGAACAGGTTGTGTCAGGTCGAGGAGGCGGGGATGAGAGGAGGATTGGTCACGGGATGAGGCTGGGGTGGGGAGGTTTTGAAACTGGTAAAATCCACATTTAAGCCATTGGGTTGTAGGCTCCCAAGGTGGAATATGAGGTGCAGTTCCTCCAGTTTGCGGGTGGCATCATTGTGACACTGGAAGAGGCCCAGGGTGGACATGCCACCCAGGGAGTGGGAGTGGGAGGGGGAGTTAAAATGTTTTGCTACTGGAAGGTGTTGTTGTTTGTTACGTACAGAGCTCAGATGCTCTACAAAATGGTCTCCGAGTCTCTACTTGGTCTCACCAGTGTAGAGGAGGCCCCATCAGGTGCAGCAAATGCAGTAGACCAAGTTGACGGATGTGCAGGTGAACTCATGGGCCTCTCTTTATCTTTCTTTGATAACATTTCACTTTACCATTAATTCTCACTCACGTGGCAAGGATTCATGACTACCTGTTGTGGGTATGATCTTAGCCATTAATCAGTCTGCATAAGGTGAGTTTGGAACAAGAAAAGCACAGTAGTCTCACTTTGTTCAGGATCAAACTGTCCCTCAGAAGAGATGTAAAGCCAAGGCCCTGTGTTCTCAGCTGGGTTGGAAAGATCACACAATACAATCTGATGTGCAATGTGAGGTGGTCTTATATATTATTGCTGTTTATGAGGTCTGACTGTGCACAGGGTAGCTGTAGGCAAGTTGAGAATAGACTTTGGAAAGTTTTCTGTGAAAACTGGACTGAAATTCTCAAACTCCCATGCTGTGATTTGAATAAAGTGCAGGCCTGGATGAACACAGCAGGCCAAGCAGCATCATAGGAGCAGAGAGGCTGATGTTTCGGGCCTAGACCCTTCATCAGAAAAACTATTACAT